AATCAATCTCATTCATAACAGCTCTGCTTCTCCTCCTAGTGAGCTGTGATTGGCCCACAGCTGTCACATGATATATGGGGCCAATCACAACACCCTGTACCATGTGACCAGCTCCAGCCAATCACAGATCACTATCTTGAGCTGTCAAAAAGCTAACTCACTGATGACAGTTGATGAATGAGTTCGGTTCTAACAGCAAGCTTTGCATTGCAGGAGAAATGACCATTATATCTCCTGCAAAGAAAAGTGTGGAAACAAAATCCCTGATCACCCCCCTCCCCCCACAGTAGTACAATGGTTACTATGGTAACATCCTACTATTCTGATACAAGTATTAAAAAAAAGTTAAAATATATTGAGAATTTTGTTTTATTTTTTGTATTTATTTTTATTTTTTTTAACTACTTGCCAACCACTTACCCGCATTTTGTGGGCGAGCAGCAGCTCTTTGCAAAGTAGCGTAATCTGCATCGCTTCCTGTTTTGGGGTGTCAATGCGCCTGCGCCCCCCCACTGCCCCCCCCGGTCGGTCCAGGGAGAGAAGAGAGAACACGGCACCGAGTAAAAGCACCACTACATTGTACACACACACGTTAGATTAGCACATTTAACCCTTTGATGGCCCCGTCACCCAGCCAGTGCCATTAGTACAGTGTCAGTATATAGAATGTTTCACTGATCTCTGTATTCCTGCCACTAGTGACATCACATAGTGTCAGGGTCAGTAAGCCCCTCCCAGCCAGGGTCAGCTGGCGTTAGATTGGCCGCACACTGTCGCACTCACGCTATAGGTCGCTGATCACCGCCATTACTAGTATAGTGTTTGTACGGATCAATATATTGATCATGAACAGAACTATACTAGTGCCGGCTTTGTATAGTGTCCCCAATACTCAGTGTTAGCCGGATCGGCCCGGTCACTGCCAGCACTAGTGTTCAGCCCCTCCACTGTTCTTCACAGAAGATTTGTACCAATTGTGGGCCAAGGCAATTTATACACCACAATACATGGCGACACCCAAATTCAGCTCTTGTCACACAATTCACATGGAACTCTATCACCGTTTATGAATTTAACATTTGTTTGGGCCGAACCCTCAACATGGACTTTACAGAAAAGAATGAATTGCAGTCATATTGGTCCGCAGACCCGATTCATGGTATGTCCGTGTTCTCTGCTGGTACATATATGTCCAACATGGACCAGCAATGTACTGGAACGTCGCTGGACTTGGAGTGGTTATACCGGGAGGATGCTTGCAGCTACAGGCATCATTCTAGTGCTGGTTTATTAGCTGGTGGGCGGCTTTCATGTAAAAGTAATCCTAGTGGCCAATTAGCTGCAGAAATGTTTTTACGAGCAGCGAGATGGGACATCATTATAAATGATTTCCTATAGCAGCAAATCTGATGAGATGAATGAAGTGGGTGTAAAGTGGAAGCAGTGGATCTGCAGGGAGCAGCATCTTGAGCACAAAGCACTTTATGTTGTGGATGGATTTGCACACGGTTCAGTTTCCTTCATTTATTGATAAACCCCATAAGACCAATGAAGTGGGTGTAAAGTGGAAGCAGTGGATGTGCAGAGAATAGGATTTGGAGCCCCGAGCTCTTTATCTCTGAATGTCTCCACATATTTGTAGTGTATTTGTGATGATTTCTGTGCACACACAATAGGACAGCGCTGTGACACATAATGCTCTTCTAGATGACAGGGAATCCTTCCCTTTGTTACAGCAGCAGTCCGCTAGAAGGTTTTTGTAGGTTTGGAGTTGTTACACATAGCGCGGGTTTTATCCATTTATAGTGATGACATCATTGCCCAAATCTGGGGGTCACCAGCCATTTCCACCCTTTACTCCCAGCTGGGGGGCTTTGTATCCATATACCAGATGTTCTACAGGACTAAATCTGCAATCAATGTTACTGCAAAATCAAAGGGGCCAAAACCCCTCCCCGAGGAGTCATATATTTCTGTCCCCCTTGGTGGGAGTGGAGGTGACCCCTTTATAAGGATCTACAGTCCATACACACCCAGCACAAGGCCGGGGTCACACTACCAGACGCTTCTCGGGGCTGCAGTTCCTCTGAGCTCCACAAGGTGGGGATATCACTTCTACCCAGACAGGAGGTCTCTATGGAAGACAGGAAGTGATGTCAGGTACAGACAGGAAGTGATGTCAGATACACTCAGGACGTACTAGGGAGAGGTGAATCAGGAGGAAGCAGAGAGGAGACATTCCTGGATCTGGCAGCAGAGGAGGTAATACGTAGATGAACCCCTTCAGGGGGAGGAGTTGATGATAATATATTTGCCCCCAAAGCTGGCCTACATGGTTCAGTTTTATCGTTCAGCCAGCGGGGATGACCAGAAAAACTGAAACGATTCACCCATCCACACATTGGAGTTGGATGGGGGAATCCTCCCCACTGCACTCTTGTATTCTGACAATGGGGGGACTCCTCCGCTCTCTGAATACACGGATCAGCACTGAAGCTATTGGCTGCAGCCGCTGGGGGAGTGGCTTTTATCCTGCAGTGGCCACACATGGATGGAAATGTGAGCGATCCCTGCTGAACCAGCTGAATTTCCATGGATCTATGGTCACCTTCAGTGACTTCCTCCCCTCCCCCTCATCTTCTTTATGATGGAAGTCAGAGAATCCTATGACATCACACTGACCTCACAGCTCCTCCCCCAATGTCCCTCCATCCAGAGTCAGAGAATCCTATGACATCACACTGACCTCACAGCTCCTTCCCGTCAATGTCCCTCCATCCAGTCAGGGAATCCTATGACATCACACTGACCTCACAGCTCCTCCTCCTCCCAATGTCCCTCCATCTGACATTTCTCTGATGCTCTTAGGATGTGGGGTCCCTTGGTATCCTCACATGTAAAGTGGGACTGTTGGTCCTGCGTTGTATGTAATGACATCAGAATGCTGCAACAAGCCTATACCCTGCGTAGTGTGGGGGTCCTGTGGGGGGAAATTATACCTCAGCCTGAAGTGGGGCTTTAATAAAATGGAGACCTGAATGGAGAGGTGAGGAGGATTCTGGGAATATCATTTGATGTGACTCTTTGTGTTCAGATGTAGAGTTTTCCTCCTGTGAAGTCTGGAGATCATATGACATCACATTGCCTCCACCTCCCTCCCTGATAGAAGAGAGAAAGAAGAAGAAGATTCTAGAAGTCACCAGAGAGATCACTGAGCTGCTGACAGGAGAGGTGAGCGGTGCCGGGAATTCTGGGACATTCTCCAGTAACAGACAAGGGATGTGTCTGGATGGTGACTGTATCATTGTGTGTGTCAGGTTCCTATAAGGTGTCAGGGTGTCACTGTCTATTTCTCCATGGAGGAGTGGGAGTATTTAGAAGGACACAAGGATCTCTACAAGGACGTCATGATGGACAATCAGCCGCCCCTCACATCACCGGGTAAGAGGAGACTTTATTGTAAAGGAGAGAGCAGTACGGAGGATCCACCTAGATCCCCCATCATCTGATAAACACATAGAAACAATGGATTCAGTCAGTGTGTGTGTTTCCTACAGATGGATCCAGTCATGGGAACCCACCAGAGAGATGTCCCCGTCCTCTGTATTCCCGGGATTCCACACAGGAAGGTCACACCATCCCTCACTATTACAAGGTTGGTGGGATGGAGCATCCAGACCATGGACTCATAGAGACAATGTGTGGATTTTGTGTGTGATGTCACAATCATAAATCTTACATTTTACAGATGATATTTTCTCTCATTTTCTTGATTTAGAGTGGAGATCCAATCGATATAGAATTTGAGGTGAAAGCAGAAGAAGAAGAGGCGTATGTGAGGGATGATCAGCAGTCTATGGAGGAGGATGGAATAACGGGGACATTTATAGAGGAGGACACTCCTACAGAGATCAGCACAGGTGGGTCATGAACACTAAATCCATTCCTCCACCCATACTGCTCACTGATTGGTCCAGAGTAGGGCGGGGACTGGGTGATATCAGCCTGTAATCCCCTGGTCACTTTCCTGAGCTGTGTTCCCCGTCCTGTATTCCTGGATTTCTCTCGGATAATCTTCCTTCTCTGTGCTGCAGACACAATTTATGTATCTAGACTGGATTTATGGAGGTTCTGGGGATCAGCTGGCAGCAAAATGTAGATTTTCAGCACAGGAGATACTCTAACTAGGCCCCTGGGGCATATGGTTTGAGTCTCCTTCCCCATGCCCGGGTCTAGTAAGATCTCTGACAGTACAATTCTCCCAGGGTTCCTTGCTCTGTGGTCTGCTGGCTGTGCCGGGTGGAGGGATATGTCTGTATAGTCTCAGCCCCAAGTCACTGAGTGCAGTCTCAGGAGATGGGAGGCAGCGGTGTGGGATCTCTGCAACTTGTCTACAGTAAACATTTAATCTTCCACTGATTACTGAATACAAATATTATAAATTATACAGTGCAGGGGTCAGTACTCATATTGCACATTACATACTCCTGACCCCTGCACTATATACTTTGTTGTACATTACATACTCCTGACCCCTGCAGTCCATTCTTCATTTTGGTTGTTCTCCCCCCATCCTCACTCTCTGACCTCTGGTGGGGCTCAGCCCCGCTGTTCTTCATGACTAAATCATGGACTAAATAAGGAAGTGCAGTACTTCTTGTGTTGGGAAGATGGCGATGAGTGATAGAGGGGGTGGGGACCCTCGTCCTATAATCCCCTCATCACTGTCCCTCCTATAAAAGACAGTTCTGGTTGTTTCCTCACTCTCTGACTAAGGTCCATGAATAAAGAAATGACCTGGTAGGAGATCAGAGGAGCCATTTCCTAGTTCCCTTGAGGGTGGAATTGTAAGCTCCTCAGAGACCAAGCTGCCTGATGTGGGCGGAGTCTGGTTTGGGGGAACCAATCAGCTCCTGTCTAGTAATCCTCTTTGTCTTTGTATTTTAGTCCATGGCCGGGAGATGAGGAAAACCTCCGAGGATTGTCTCACTTTGTCTCCAGACTGGAAAGTAGAAGATGAGGACATCACACAGTATAGTCCAGGAGAAAACCCGGCTCCCTCCAATGTCCATCCGGCACCACCCAGTGTAGATGGACCATCGGATTCCTCGTATCCTGAGGAACCTCAGACTCTGCGGGACTGCGCCGGCCGTCCAACAGGGAAGAGCATCTCCTGTACTGAGTGCGGGAAGAGGTTCTATTATAAATCCCATCTTAATGAGCATAACAGATCTCACACGGGTGAAAAACCATACGCCTGTCCTGAGTGCGGGAAATGTTTTTCACAAAAGTCTAATCTTAAACAAAACACATCAAAGGCGTCACACAGCTGAGAAGCCATATTCCTGTCCTGAGTGCGGGAAGGGTTTTCCATTATAAATCGAAACTAAATGAGCATAAAAGATCTCACACAGGTGAGAAGAAACATTCTTGCCCTGAAGATGAGAACATCATACAGTATAGTCCAAGAAAAAATCCGGTTCCCTCCAATGTCCATCCGACACCCCCCCCAGTGTAGATGGACCATCGGATTCCTCGTATCCTGAAGAACCTCAGACTGTGCGGGGATCGGGCCAGCCTTCCAACAAGAAAGAGCTTCTCCTGTACTGAGTGCGGAAAATGTTTCAATTCTACATCCAATCTTAATGTGCATAAAAGATCTCACACGGGGGAGAAACCGTATTCCTGTCCTGAGTGCGGGAAATGTTTTTCACAGAAGTCCAATCTTTACAATCATCAGAGATCTCACACGGGTGAGAAGCCGTATTCCTGTCCTGAGTGCGGGAAATATTTTTCAGACAAGTCCAATCTTTACAAACATCAGAGATCTCACACTGGTGAGAAGCCGTATTCCTGTCCTGAGTGCGGGAAATGTTTTTCACGGAAGTCACATCTTTCCAAACATCAGAGATCTTACGCAGGGGAGAAGATGTATTCCTGTCTTGAGTGTGGGAAATGTTTTTTACGGAAGTTGCATCTTTCCAGACATCAGAGATTTCACACAGGGGAGAAGATGTATGCCTGTCCTGAGTGCGGGAAATGTTTTTCACGGAAGTCGCATCTTTCCACACATCAGAGATCTCACACAGGGAGAAAGCTATATTCCTGTCCTGAGTGTGGGAAATGCTTTTCACAGAAGTCAAGTCTTCACACACATCAGAGATCTCACATTGTGGAGAAGGTGTAATCCTGTCCTGAGTGCGGGAAATGTTTTTCACGGAAGTTGCATCTTTTCAAACATCAGAGATTTCACACAGGGGAGAAGGTAATGCCAGAAACATCATGGGATGCAGAGGGAATTCAGAGTTAGACAGCAAGGCCCATGAGAGAATGATATTCAGGGGTCATTCGGAAGAGGGTCCAGCAGGACCACGCGTGGGAAAATTTAGTTGGGTTGTCCTGAGATGAAACAATCAACTGTTCCATCTCAGCAATTCTACATAGACGTATGAGCCAATCTCGCACTGTGGGGGGGTGAACAGACCCCCAGAAGACCGGTAGGCAAAGTTTAGCCACGTTGAGCATATGCATAGCCAGAGATTTGAAATATAGACGTTTGGGAAACGTAGAGTGGTGGAGGAGGAGTGTTGGGGCCGGAGAGAACTCAATATCAAGGGTAGATACCGAGGAAGTAATCCCATGTACCTCCTGCCAAAAGGGCTGAACCATAGGGCAGTCCCACCAAATATGAAGAAGAAGAGATCCAACAGAAGCTCCACATCTCCAGCAAGTGCTAGGTTTAGATGGATAAAAATGATGGATTCTAGAAGGTGTATTGTACCAACTTGTCGCCAACTTGTATCTGTTTTTCTTGAGTCGAAACATTCAAGGAGCACTTATGAGAAAAGGTAAAGATTTGATCCCATTCAGAGGAAGAAAAGTCAGTGTTTAAGTCTCTTTTTCCATGCTTGGCAGGTCAGAAGAGAGTCAGAGGTTCTATCACCAAGAAGGAGCAGATCTGTACATGACACTAGATGCCTCCATGGCTCGGCCTTTGAACAGATGAACTCAAAAGAGGTGAGAGGGCGGACCCATTTATGGCGATATGCGGGAGAGAGAAAAGTGCCTAATTTGAAGATAAGCCCGGAAGGGGAAGGAGTGATCTCCCATAATACTTGTCAAGGAAGAACAAGACTTCAGCTGACCTTTGTGACAAAAATGGTTCACCAATACTTGACTATGTGGCCAGTGTGCTGATGGAAAGGACTTGTGCATACCTGGAGGAAAGACCGGACTGAAGCGGAGAGAAGTGGGTTGGGGGCATCTGAAATGGAGGCCAATTTACAGGCTAAACGGAAGATTCTAAGGGAAAGTCCGATTATTGGATGTAGGAGGAGGTCTTGAGGAATGTGTTTGGGCAGGATCCACAGGATCAATGCTAAGTGGGAGGAGGAACAGGAGTGTTCTAGTTGGACCCCACGCTTTTGTGGTAGAGTGAATATTCCAATTGATTATCCTAGTGAGATGGCAGGCCCCAATGATAAAGTTGCAGGTCTGGTAGTCCAATCTCTCCTTTGTATTTGGGGAGCACAAGTTGAGAGAAAGCTATGCGTGGGTGCTTGTGATTCCAGAGAAAGAGAGAGCACAATCGTCTGCACGAGACAAAAAAGGCGGGTGGTAGATGGATAGGTAAGGTTTGAAATAGGTAGAGGAGGCGCGGGAGGATATTTATATTTAGTATTGCAGCCCTACCTAACCAGGAGAAGCATGGGTGATGCCACTTAGTTAGGTCTGCTCGGATGGCTCTAAGGATTGGAAGGAAATTTTTGGCGTAGAGATCAGAGAGGTTACTCGTAAGCTGTATTCCCAGATAGGTAAGGGGGTCCCTTTCCCATCAAAACAGAAACTGTGACTGACAAAAGGAAACCAGGTCTGAGGGAAGAGTCATGTTTAAGGCATAGGATTTGGAATGATTAATTTTAAGATTCGAAATGTATTGAAAAAAGGACAAATCTTTAAGCAGGTTGGGCAAGGTAATCCGAGGCTCCGTCAGAAACAAACGAATGTCGTCTGTGTAAGCAGCAAGGTTGTATTCCTTATTCACCACGGAACTATCCCTGATATCCGGGTTCAAGCAAAGTTTAGGAAGCAATGGCTCTAATGAAATTACAAAAAGAAGCGGGTGAGAGAGGGCAACCTTGGCGCATTCCATTCCCAAGAGGGAAGAAGTGGGACAAATGCCCGTTCACATGGACCTGTGCCTTTGGACCAGAGTATAGTGCCATAATAAAATTGAGCATAATGTCCCATAATCCAATCACCTGTAGGGATGCCCATAAGTAATCCCAGGACACCCTATCAAATATCTTCTCGGCATCTAGGGAAAGAAAAAATCTGGGACTGTGAGAGTTATGAAGTCGGTGGAGAAGGTTGAGGGCCTTGATGGTGTTGTCCCTCCCTTCCCTACCTGGGATGAAGCCCACTTGGTCAAGATCAATCAGAGAGGGTAACAAGGGAAGGAGACGGGTGGCTAAAATTTTTGCATATATTTTATTGTCCACATTTAAAAGAGAAATGGGCCTATAATTGGTAACCAACATCACATCTTTACCTTCTTTGGGAATAACAGTAATATAGGCCTCCAAAAGACGATGATGTTGCGTGGGGGTTGAAGAGAAGGTGTTGAAGGCAGAGAGGAAGAGCCCACTCAGAATATCTATAAACTCCTTGTAATATGCTACTGAAGAACCATCGGGGCCCGGGCTTTTACCAGGTTTCATTTGCTTGACAGCTCGGGAGAGTTCCTCTACCGTGATGTGATGTTCCAAATCCTGAACAGTATCTTCAGGTAAAGCGGAAGGGCTATAGAGGTGAAGAAAGTCAGAGACCAAGGTGGCTTTAGCCTTTTTGGCCTTGGAAGGGCGACGTTCCGGAGGAGGATTGTATAATGTTTTGTAGTATTGCTCAAAGTGAGATGCTATATCTGCATTTGAAGTAGCCAGAGAGCCTCCCCCAACATATTATTAGTGTACTATGTGAGGGGTGGTGTCATACAAATACCGGAGATCACCCCCCCAACATATATTATTAGTGTACTATGTGAGGGGCGGTGTCATACAAATACCGGAGATCACCCCCCCCCAACATATTATTAGTGTGCTATGTGAGGGGCGGTGTCATACAAATACCGGAGATCACCCCCCCCCCAACATATTATTGGTGTACTATGTGAGGGGCGGTGTCATACAAATACCGGAGATCACACCCCCCAACATATTATTAGTGTACTATGTGTGGGGGGGTCATACAAATACCGGAGATCATACAAAACATACCGGAGATCACCCCCCCCAACATATTATTAGTGTGCTATGTGAGGGGCGGTGTCATACAAATACCGGAGATCACACCCCCCCAACATATTATTAGTGTACTATGTGAGGGGCGGTGTCATACAAATACCGGAGATCACACCCCACCCCCCCAACATATTATTAGTGTGCTATGTGAGGGGGCGGTGTCATACAAATACCGGAGATCACACCCCCCAACATATTATTAGTGTATTAGTGTGCTATGTACTATGAGGGGCGGTGTCATACAAATACCGGAGATCACACTCACATTTATGAGTTGAAGAACATAAATGAAGAACATAAATAAATAAAACCATATCAATAATCCAACCATTGATAGAAAACCCAAAATTCCTCATTTGGCCTTTAGATGGCGCTAAGTATCATAGTAATCAGCACCACCTAGTGTACAAGGGCAACATGTTTCATTTGAAATCAATGGGAAATATTCATCCAGCTCAGCAAATAGACTCCTAACATTCACCATTCCCCATTCACACAGGAGGAATGGACATGCACTTTCACCAGGGAATGGTTTACACACATTCTATGAATAGACCCCCAAATGTCAGGAGACGACGTTTCTATAAAGACGGGAAGTATGGAGCAGAGAAATGAAGAGACCTCCCAGCAATGTTATTACCAGGCTGCAGCTAGGGGGAGCTCTAATGTCACCCCAGCAGAGTGATCCCATCTAGCCCACATTAACCCTCTCACTGCCAGAGCTGTTTCTGCATGATTTTGCACACATGGGAAAATGCAGATTTTGGTCCTGAAGATGAGATAAACCCCCAAACATCTATTCTGTGACATCAGAGGCCCTGGAGAATAAAATGGTGGTGATTGTTAAGGTGTTCCCCGTACACAATAATAAAAAATCTATTGAACAAAAACAAAATGGTGTGTGTGTGCAATGATGACTACATTGTGTATCCAGAAACGGCTGGTCGGTGACACTTCCATATACAGCCCAATGAAGTGACAAGGAAGCCCTAGAACCCTTTGGAGGAACCCTGGCTGAGAAAGGCTGGACTAGGCAGTCACATATCTCTGCCCCCCTTGCAGGGTTCCCAACCCTCCGGGACTTTTATTACTGACACAACATGAACATTTACTGACGGAGGACATGTTTTTTACTGACATCCTGAAAAATGACAGAACTCCTGTTAGGATGTCAGACGATGGATATTGAATCCATATAACAGGACATGTGATCACTGACAGTCCCCAGAACAAGCCATCTGCCTGGTTTACACCTAATAATTCAATCCATGGTGACCACAAATCAGCCCAACGCAGACACATGAAAACCAAGTTCTGCTCGGCATGCCATGGAGAGTAATGGGCACGGTCAGATGGGAGGGGCTTAGAAGGATGATGTCACAGACCCGCCCCCTGATCACCTACCTCTAAATGAAGAAAGCAGCTGATTGGGTGAGTACACATTGCTGTGACCTCCATGCTTAGCTTCACAGTGCGGCAATTTTACCTTCACATGCTGAGTTTCACAGGTGGCACCGCCTGTCATACCTGTCTATTGAAGTCAATGGGACTGAGCCGCAGCCACAACCAATCACCTGACTTGTCATTGTGACGCAGAACTTCCATGTAAAATCTCCATTCAGCTGGAAAACTCCAGACACCCCAGAGCCACCATGGATCCCTTTATAGATGGAGGAAGAGACTGCAGGACTGGTGAAGGAGGCCTTCATAGTGATGGATCCACTTTATCCACAAAGGACTTGTTCTGACTCCCATATACTCCAGTGATGGCCAACTGATGAGACACTGGGGCCTCAATGGCCCCCCAACCAAACACCAAAGGGTTGTGCTTTATATTTACATACTACAGGAGAGGGTCAGAGACTGCAGACATACTACAGGAGACGGTCAGAGACTGCAGA